TATTTATCTTATATGTATTTCGACTTAAACATTAACTGCATTATGTAGAGCTGTCTTGTCATCCACTATAATATTTGCTGCCGCAGTTGCCGCATTCGAACTTAGTAGTTGTTTAGTCGATGAACTTGACGAATAGCTGTCACTAGAACTGCGGGTAGACGCTGCATTCCCGCTTATTGGATTGTCCAACATGTCTTTATCAAGCGAGGACAAACATCAGTTCTACAAAACTAACTGCAACATAGACAGATACTCACCTGGTAGAGAACTGACATTGCATTTCATTTCCCCTACTACATTGCTGGGTATTCCTACGCTGCCGGGGTTGCTTCCTGGTCCAACTATATTGCCCACTGATGTTGACTTCTTATGTAAATTCTTTTTTACTAAACTGTTGGCCCCTTTAAAACTACCAGCATTCCCCTTCAGGCTGCCCAACTTGTCTCCGCTCTTGGGTCGTTCACGTTCTGGACATAGGGGACTTAAAATAGAATTCTGCGTGTCTTCGGGTGTATAGTAATCAGAGTCGTCAGCATTGACGGCTGTGGTCTCAATATTACCACAAGATGTGTTGTCAGTGCTCCCACTCAAATCTGGGCGTTTATTTTTTTTCAACGATACAGTAGTTTTCATTTCCAAACCTTCTTCGGCCTCGTTATCACTGCCATTGGTGATGACCACTTCCTTGTTTCGTGATATATTTATTTTTTGTTTACTATTTGGAGAAAGTAGCGGTGATAGCTTCTCATTTTCACTGTCATCCTCTTCCATATCATTTTGTGATGATGTAGAATTTGCACTGTTCGTATTTGAAGCACGTTTAACCTTGGGCACCTTCAAACTGTGGCGCTCATTAATAATTTGCAACTTATCTTGTGAATGGTTTGATTTCGTTTGTTTTTCTAATTTTTCTGTTGGCAGCGATTTTTTGTTAACAACCCCCACATGCCCTGCAGCAGCTCCAGAAGATGTTGTGTTGTTCACATTAACTTCATTTGTTACTTCTACAACAGAGAGCGCTTGACTATTTACGTTGTTAGTACCAGTAATGGTGCCCACTTCACTTGTATTAGTTGAAGTTGAGGCGTTCTTTTTTATTTTGGATCGCCGTTGATTTGGCTTTAGTGGTGAGGTTGCCTTATGGTTATCTGCCGCCAATGCTGCGGTATGAGTAACACCGTCAATCATGTCGCTATCATTTGTTCGCGGTCGTCCTACAAATTGTGGAGGTCCATTGAGTGCTTCTATTAGTGATACTGGAATGTAACCCGGCGGTATGTGTTGATCGCATGGGGCTGGTTCACCTGGGGCAGACGTGGGTGTATTTTGATGTATTGTATGAGAACTTACGCCTTTTTGCACGGCTCGAATTTGTAAAAGTGCGCGAAAAGGGGCACGACAAATAGGGCAGTTATTTGCCTGATATCGTAGAGAATCTGCGCACGAATTACACAAACACAGATGTCTACAGGGTAATATGAGTGTGTCACGGGTTTCACTCATACAAATAACGCATTCACTGCCATGATCGTCGATTTCTTCATCGATTGAGCTTTTGTTGACTGCCTATATATGTACAGTAAAATAGAAATACATATGCAAGCATTGAAAAAGAATTTGGAAACAAATAAAATATTAAACTATCTATTGACATACCTTGTTTTCGATCCCATAGATTTCTTGCAGAAGATAGCAGAGGCCATCGACAAAAATTTTTTGTTTAAGAGCACGCAAGACGTAGCTGTTAGTTTCTGGATGATGATCAATAACACATATTGTTGTATGCGACTGGCGGCAGTCTTCGTTACCTTCCTCCACGACACAATGAATAGCAACTGGGTACTGTTCCTTCGTAGGGTTGTAGATAAAATCATCTTCAGGAATTAATTGGGGATTGAAAACGTGACCCGTCTGAGAGAAGAACTGATTTATGCCTTTTTCATAGTGATACGTTTCGGAAGTTAAGCCATCTCGTGGCACAAGAGTCACACCGCTGGGACTCACTTCTTCGGTACAAAAATAATAAATCGTAATAGCGCATTTCGCATCTGAATCAAAAGTAAACTCAATATTGTATAAACACGGTGCGTGTTGGCCATTGCCATCTCCACTTCCACCTAGTTCGTTGGTGGTTGCATGGCCGTCAATGTTATCTATGTTGGAATTTGAAGATGATATTTCGTGTTTTTCTGGGGAAACTCGAACAAAACGAACAGATTCCTTGCGTATATTTACTAGACTTTTAAGAGTTTTTGTTGGTTCACTGGCTTGTGGAGGTGGATACGGAAATGCGGTTGGTCGGCAGCCCAGAAAATTCAAGTCGGCATTTTCGCCAAATAGGTACGATTCTGGTTGGGGCGTGTCGAAGCGCTCTCCGCCCATAATAAAGTGACTGCCGAAAAAATTACCTGATCGCGGAGGATACTTGTATGCATGAGTTGAATTGCGTTGCTCAGCTTCTTCCACAGCACCATTCTGCCTGCTCGTAAATGCACCCATGAATTGAAATATTTGCGTGATATACCAGTAAAAAGAGGTTCAGAAAGTGATTTGGCCCCTACTTTCATAAATATAACCAAATCAATTCTGATAAATCCACTTATATTTATGCATTTATTACACACTTCCACTTTATTTTAAAAGAACTCAGTGCAAAAATAAAAACTTTCTTCGCTAAGAGATTGCAAAATTAGTTGAAATTTTCACTTGTATCGATTGAAAAATATTTATAGTACACAAGAGGTGTGTTCAACCCTACGAATGATAGAATACAAGAGCTTTGTAGTTATAGACCGATACCAGTACCGAGTACAGAATATCGATACTTTTCAAGAGTACTGAGTTACTTCGAAAACTCGATACTTTTTGTCCAGTACCGAGTAAAAATCGTGAATACTAAAAAGTATCGACGAGTTAAAAACTTTTTTAAGCATTACACAAATATATCCAATATGAATGTCGTGTAAATGAATATAGCGCTCATTTACATCAATACTGGCATAACTCCAAAATCCCGATACTCGAGAAAATCGGATTTATGGCTGTGAATTTAGGTTATGGTTTTTAACCGGCAAGTGGGGATAACCAGACATTGAACAACCGGCCCTTATTGTTAAAATGATGTGTTTGTTGTAATGAATTTATATTATGTGTTTGTTGTAAACAAGGCGAATTCATATTACAACAAACACATCATTTTGACATTAAGAAGTACCGCGGCGAAAATCTAAATTCTTCATCAACACCACCTTGTATAAATTCGCCTTGTCTAATTTNACCGGCCCTTATTGTTAAAATGATGTGTTTGTTGTAATGAATTTATATTATGTGTTTGTTGTAAACAAGGCGAATTCATATTACAACAAACACATCATTTTGACATTAAGAAGTACCGCGGCGAAAATCTAAATTCTTCATCAACACCACCTTGTATAAATTCGCCTTGTCTAATTTAGGGCCGGTTGCTCAAAGCCTGGTTGACACTAATCATCGGTTAAACATCGTTATCGACGTTAGACAGAGAGACAGAGAACAAATCGATTATTAAGAATGTGCTCGTGGGAATGGGGAATTCGCGATCGTAATTGGGGGAGCGAACAAACTAATTGAGCTTGATGCAATAATACAAGGTGGTATCAATTGTGACAGCTCGATTTGACACTACCTTAGCTCAGTAGAACGAGAAGAAAAACGGGAAGAAATTAAGCCCCATATGGGGGGGAAATATAAAATTTCACATTTTTTCCTAAACAAAATTTGCTTTTTTATAGTATATTCGTAATGAAATAAAATAAGATAAAATACCTTTTTAAGAAAAAAAAAATGTGTATACTGAGCACAAATAAAAAAATATTCAAATATATTATTAGGCAAAGAATTGTTAAAGAAGTAACACTGTCTCACCTAAGGCAGTCAATAGGTTCATTCCTTATCTTTTTGGACTAAATTCTGAAAAGTGTCAAAATGCCAGAGCGTAAGCAAAATGCGCTCACTAAAAGAGAGTAACCGGAAAAGTAAAGGAACGCAAAAAACCAAATTTTTAGTCCAAAGAATGGCAACAACAAAACTAACGTCAAATAAGAACAGAAATGTATGTACAAAACACATTCACACAAGCACAAGCACAATAAACACTTGCTATATCAATTATTTTTGCCTCCTTCCAATTTCAATTCATTTCTTTTACTTTTTAGATTATTCTCACTTTTTGCGTATTCTTTAATTTCCGTTAATTTAAATTCAGTTGAGTTTGACACTTTTCAGGATTTTGCCAGAAAAAATTCTTCTGACTAAATCTGACTACTTCGGACTGATGAGAGTCGCTCTCACTGACTGTTGCTCTCTCATTTTTGCTGTCATTTCCGAGTTAAGGAACGCTTTTTGGACTAAATCTGACTACTTCGGACTTTTTCTGACTATTTCTGGGAGATAAGGAACGCGCATAATATGGCGGAATTAGAGTGAGAAGTTGCCAACTGATAACACCTGTGTTATTGCATCATGCTAATTGAGGATGTCATGGGAAAAAGGTATTGGGATTTCCCCAATTTCGGTGAAAAAATCGCCGATAGAGAATTTTCGCTCATCTCTAGTACTGTGCAATACAAAGGGAATATCTTTAAAATAAATAAGTTTTGGTCAAACGTCATAAAAAAACTGGAAAATACTTGTACAGTNTTTGTTTTTGTACTCCTGCTATCACCTTATATTAATTCGCCTTGACACCTGTGTTATTGCATCATGCTAATTGAGGATGTCATGGGAAAAAGGTATTGGGATTTCCCAATTTCGGTGAAAAAATCGCCGATAGAGGATTTTCGCTCATCTCTAGTACTGTGCAATACAAAGGGAATATCTTTAAAATAAATAAGTTTTGGTCAAACGTCATAAAAAACTGGAAAATACTTGTACAGCATGGCGACTGACGAAAATATTATGCATGAAATGCTAGGTGAGTGCTTTTAAATTAGTATATCAATCTGAAATGAAGCCATTTAATAGCGGTTTGTGCATTTTCATATTTTTTGCACTATACAATTCTACGAATGGTCAACAGATCGTATGACCAATCCTAGTCGGGAAACGGTGGATGAGCTTAGTTTGCAAATGTTTTGCATGGTGGTGCGAAGTAATCCACAACTGGTAGACCGGGCCCAGGAAATGATTATGCTAA